CAACCAGTTTCGTCAAATGGTTTGAGTTACCTTAACTTTTGGGGTTTTACAGTGCACTTGTAAAATTAAATTAAAATGTGTGGAAGTCGAAATATGCAGAGTATTTCCTATAATATTTTTTCTTCTGGAGAAAGTTTTATTTGTTTTATTAAGGCTAGAATAAATGCATTTTAAGGTCAATATCATTAGCCCCCTTAAGCAACATTTTGATTGCCTACAAAACCTGGTGTTTTCTGTGTTTATGCATTTGCTGGTCAATTATTGTCTACAACCTAAGCTCCTCATCGTCAATAACCTGTCGTAATTATATAATATTATTTTCTGGTTGTATTTAGTATCGTGACAGAATCATGGACTTCAGCCACTGACATTGACTCAGCAAGAAATTGCAGATTTTGCCCCTTATCTTTTTAAACTGCTTCAGTATCAGATTTGACAGTGACTTATTCCCATGATTCATCACTCAGTCATCTTTTTATTACCTGAAATTTAGCCCATGCATGGAAATCAATTTCGACAGAATTTTATTTTAATATGAATTGAAAGCACATTGTTAACATGAGCCTACAGAAAGTTGATTGTTGCAATAATTGATGAATCCCAAATGAAGATTTTTTCCACTTAAAAAATGACTTGTTGCTTGTTCAAACTACTTATTGAAAAGAGTTGAAACAGCAATATTTATGTTTTATCCACTTAAATTCTTAAAATGATTCTAATTCTTTTGTGTTAGGACAATATGAAGGAATTGTGTGGATCCCAGCTTTTTTTTTTATTTGTTATCATGAAATAAGACTTTCAGTGCAAAAAAAAGTTTTTGTCTTGTTTTTCTAGTCTAAATATTTAAAGATATTTAAATCAAAAAGCATTTTTATGACATGTAAAAAGTGAATTTTCCCCTAAAACAAGCTCTAAAATCAAATCATGAAATAAAATTTAAATAAATAATTAAATAAATAAATGAAATGAATAAAAATAAATGAATCATTAAAAAATAAAAATAAATAATAATTAAATAAATGAAATAAACATAATAATGATTATAAGTAATAATAAAAATTAAATAAATTATTAAATACATAAAACAAGTAAATAAAAATAAAGATAAAGAAAATAATGAAATAGTTAAAATTAAAAGATTAAAAATAGAATAAAATAAATAAATAATACAATAAAATAAAAAGTAAATAACTAATAAATCATTACAAAATTAAAAATAATAAATACAAATAAAAATAAGCAAAAAATTATCAAATAAATTAAAAAATAATTAAATAAATAAATAACTAATTAAATAAACAAATAAAATAAAATAAAATAAATACGTAAAATAAATAAATAATAAAAATAAAAAATGAAAAATAAAATAAAATAAAAATGACATAAAATAAAATAACATAAAATAAATAATTAAACAAATAAATACATAGTTAAAATTAAACGAATGGTTAAATAAATAAACTATTATTATTAAAATATAAAAATAAAAAGTAAAAATAAATAAATAATAAATAATAAACAAAATTATTAAAATAAATGACAATAAGCAAATATATAATAAAATAAATAAAATTCAATAAAAGAAAAAAAGAAAAAAAGAAAAAAAGAAAAGAAAAGAAAAGAAAAGAAAAGAAATCTACCACTGGGGTAAGTAAAATAATATTTTTTAAATATCTAAGCAAGATTTTTTTATTTCCCCACTGTCAGATTATATGACTTGTTAAAGGAAAAACTCACTTAATTTTGACTCATTATTTCTAAAAAAAAAAAAAAATTAAATAAATAAATTAAAAAAAAAAACATTAATGTTCTTATTTTATGCTTATAAAATTTATGCTTTATACCTAAAGATTCTTAAATCAAGAAGCATTTTCTTGACAAGTAAATGCTTCTTGATTTAAGAATCTTTAGGTATTTGGGCTAGAAAATAGGAATAAAAAAATAAATAAATAAAATCAATTATGCTTTATGTTATTAAATAAGCATAAAAAAGGAATTATAAGTTTGAATTAATTGTTATAAATAACTAATTTGTATTGATAAGTAAAGCATTATATGCAATAAAATCAGCATTATAAGTTATTAACTTATTAAATAGTTTCTTTATATTAATAAGTAAGCATTATAAGCATTAAAATCAGCATTACATGTTATTACAGCAAATATTTAGCAAACATCTTGTTGGATCTGCATTCAATAATAATGTAAAGTGAAAACATTATTGTATTTGATTTCATTTGACAGATTTTTAACACTCCAACCCGATGACAGACATTTGGAGCTCTCCCGCTATACATGTCTTTCAGGTGTCATGCTCGCAAATGTAGAATTCAGTTTACAAGTGAGTATCTCTCCTCCAAGAAATCGCACATTTCTTCTAAATGTAACAGAGTCTGTCAAAAATTACACATGAGCGTTGTGGACACGTGAGTATCTGCAGGAGGGGCTCTGTGATATGGACTGTGCTCAGGAACTTGGGGCCACAGCACTTTTACACACACACAAGCACACACACATACACCTTTACACAAACACACACACACCTGGCTTCTGCACTCAGGTAAGACATTATTCAAGATCCCATAAGTGTCGAAAAAACTAATTCATTGGATTTATTTAAACAATTTATTTGAGCTGGATTTAAATAAACAAATGAAGCTGAACATTACATTTGATTTGTTTGTATAAATTCAGCCCATATAAATTGTGTGCAACCACTTACCTTAAGAAATATGTAGTAAAATCAATGAATCTTTTTTAATGGTTCAGTTTTGGGCAATGGATTATTGATGTTTTGTGTTTTGTTTTTTGAGGATAAGAGTGATTTTATAGATTTAAATGCATGCAAAATGTCTTAAATTGATTTTAAAAAGAAAGACATGTTAATTGGTTCAATGAGTTTAAAAGACAAGCATGTACAGTACGTTCCAGATAACATCATAAAAGCAAGATAAATTATGTGCATATAAGGATATGCTGGAGATAAATACCTAGAACATTTTACTAGAGTGAACGTAGTATATTATATTGTATATGTCTATATCTACACTATAAAAATATCAGTTAATTAAATGTTTTCTGTATTTTGTGATTCATGCTTTTTTTCTTCAATTATTTATGCGTTTGAAATGTATTATGGGACCTTAAATTTGCCTAGATATTGTTTAAAACTAAAATGTAAAACAAAAGATACTTTTTTTTATACATTTCATATTAATCTCTGCAGTTTAACAGAGAAAGATACATTTCCCACAACACAATTAATAACCGCAAATAAAAAAGACTTGTTTTGTAGATGTTTAATGTAAACTTTAAAGTTTCAGCTGTTATTGTTCATTAAGCCATAAACTATTCAACCTCTTACCAAATGCATCTTTCATTTTTTTATATGAAATTCTTTTTACATGTATTTTAAATCTCCATTTTAATTGGGTTATTATTTATCTTTTTTTTTAAAGTTATTTTGAAATGATTTTATTCTCTGACCTGTTAAATATTTGAATGAGCAGCATTTTATGTGAAAAAGTGGTACAAAAAGGTTTTAATATTATTATTATTATTATTGACAATATTATTATTGATATTAATAATAATGGTATTAATATTGCTATCATTATTATTAGTAGTAGTATTATAATTTTATTTTTAATATTATTATTTATATTATTATTATTATTAGTAGTATTAATATAATAATGATTATTATTGATAATATTAGTATTGATATTATTATATAATATTGCTGGTTCAAGCCCCGGCTGGGTCAGTTGGCTGTGTGGAGTTTGCATGTTCTCCCCATCTTGGTGTGGGTTTCCTCCTGGTGCTCCTGTTTCCCCCAGTCCAAACACATGCACTGTAGGGGAACTGGATAAACTAAATTGGCCATAGTGTGACTGAGTGTGTATGGGTGTTTCCCATTGTTGGGTTGTGGCTGGAAGGGCATCCGCTGCGTAAAACATATGCTGGATAAGTTGGCGGTTCATTCCGCTGTGGCAACCTCTGATTAATAAAGGGATTAAGCCGAAGTGAATGAATGAATGAATGAATATTATTATTGTTGGTGTTATTATTAGCAATTATTATACTTTTTTTAATATTGTGTAAGACTTTTCCAGCCATGCACTAAAATAAATAGTTTTTGCAAGGAATGTTTATATTAATAAAATGTTTTGTTAAGAGAATTTTAAATACATAATTTAAAACAAGAAATAAACATATCACATCTGAACATTTAAAGGCATTTAAAACTGATTAAGGGAAGCTAAAGGTTGAAATTTAATTGCGCTTAAAAGATTGACTAATTAAGAAAGACGATATACAGTATGAAATATATAAACCAATATGTGAACTGTAAACAAAATTTTAAGTAGAGAACAATTACTATAATTAATTTCCTTTTAAGTTATTTTAAATTACAGCAAATTATTTCCTTTTTCTAAGTAATTTATGGTGTTATCAGTAAAATACTTTGACCTTTTTTATTTACAGAAGGTGGTGTACAAATAAAACCTATTATCATTATTATCTCCTGATAACAAAAGCATTATGTAAGAGTAAAATCGCCTTCGGATGCACACTAAACAGTTACGACACAGCAGGTTAATTTTCATGTTTAATACTTTATATTATTATATTATAATATTTGCATATGATCATAAATTTTTTTTTTAGCTGTACTCTAATCAATTCCATGTAAAATGTATTGCTATAACACATTTCATTCCTTCGGCTTAGTCCATAATTTATTAGGGGTCACCACAGTAGAATGAACCACTAACTATTCCAGCATATGTTTCATGCGGTGGATGCCCTTCCAGCCGCAACCCAGTATTGGGAAGCACCTATACACTCTCGCATTCACACACTCACACACACTCACACACACACACACACACACACACAAACACACACACACACACACACACACACACACACACACAATACGGCCAATTTAGTTTAACCAATTCACCTATATAGCGCATTTGTTTGGACTGTGGGAGAAACTGGAGCACCCGGAGGAAAGCCACACCAACACTGGGAGAACATGCAAACTCCACACAGAAATGCCAACTGACCCAGCCGGGACTCGAACTAGCAACCTTTTTGCTGTGAGGCGACAGTGCTAACCACTGAACCACCTTGAAGAGAATTCATATTTTTCAATTCTCTTTATTTGCTGTATAATTTCTTTCCTCATATCCTCTACATTGTTTTACACTGTTGTTTATTTCTTTTTATGATCTTTTTATTATGTTTATGTTTGAACGGTGATATAAATATATATAATTTATTATTGTCATAATCACTCGCTGATAACAGAAGCAGGTAATACGGGAAAGGCATGTTTACTTGTAAGACATCATTCATGCACAATGATTTAAAGCATAATAAATGCTTAAAACGTTTTCTAAAAAATTTAAAACTGCTTTTGTTGTAGCCGAAATAAAACAAATAAGACTTTCTCCAAAAGAAAAAAAATAATGTAGGAAATACTGTGAAAAATTCCTTGCTCTGTTAAACATCATTTGGGAAATATTTGAAAAAGAAAAGAAAAATCACAGGAGGCGCATAATACTGACTTCAACTATTGGAATGCTACTGACCAATCAGAATCGAGTATTCCAGACAGCCATATATAATAATCTGCAAATTAATAGCAACCGGCTGGATGTACTTTATCCCTTACTTACTCATCATCAATGTATATCATTCCAATGGGATGTAAATAAATGGAAAATGCCTAAATGTTTTACGTATTATGTTTACATAGGGCAGCACGGTGACTCAGTGGTTAGCACAATCGCCTCACAGTAAGAAGGTCACTGGTTCGAGTCTCAGCTGGGCCAATTGGCATTTCTTTGTGGAGTTTGCATGTTCTCCCTGCGTTGGTGTGGGTTTCGTCTGAGTGCTCCAGTTGTGCTATAGGTGAATTGAATAAACTTAATTGGTCGAAGTGTATGAGTGTGTATGGGTGTTTCCCAGTACTTTTTTGGGGGGGCTGGAAGGGCATCCCCTGCGTAAAACATTAGCCAGGAACAAACTAGGCTAATTCTGATTAAGTACCCCTATATACATTTCTGCAGAGCGTTTACATACATTTTTACATACAAGATACGTTTTTTTGCAGTTTCTGTTTTTGCGAAATCCACCAGAGGCCGCTGTGTATGGTTTTTGAGATCACAAATTTCTCTCGCAAGTGCCTTTAGCGCATGCTCTTCTCACATAAATCCACAAGAGGGCGCTGTGTATGCTTTTTGAGACTTCAAATTTCTCACACGAGTGCCATTCACGACTGCTGCTCTCATGTAAATGACTGTCTGACCAATCAACTGACCTGGCCACCCACTTCACTAAACCCAACTGACAGTTTTAAAAAGCAATCCAGAAAAAGAAAAGCCCTCGCAGCAGCCCAATTTTTACCATGTTTTCAGATTTTACAACATCCTTACCCTGGTTTATTTTTTACTTTTTTGGCTTCTGTTTTTGTCTTACCCGCTTTCTGGAACCGTTCTCCACCGGACTCGAACCCTGTCATCGTGGTCAACTCCTCGTAGTCATAGCGCCTGTAGTGATTTCTTTTTAAAGACGTGATCTCCAGAAATGTATATAGGGCTACGTTTTCGGATTGAGCCTATATTGGGAAATGAAAATGAATGAATGAATGAATGTTTACATTTTGTGGCAAGTAGTCATGTTATAAGTAGGATAAAGTACATCCATGAGGTTGTTTTTGCAGAATAAAGCCCTTCAGTCTTATTTAACAGCTACTGATAAGCTTGTCAGGATTTATTCTGCAATAACAACCGCCTGGATGTACTTTATCCCTTATACATCTATAGTATAGCATTATAATTAAAAATCTGCATGAACCAGAAGCTGTGAAAGTTTTTAAAAAATGATTATTGTGACGCAGCTCCTAGAGAAACGTAATATTAAATGAGAAAACAGTGGGCGTGGCTTGTTTTTCTACTGCGAGCTGATTGGATGTAGGTGTTTCATTCAGAAAAATGGGGAAAAGAGCTATGGAGAGAGTTACTGCAGACCTAACAGACTCCACCTGCTAACCTGTTTGTTGTCAAAACTGACAGCTGGACGGGCGTGGTTAAGTGTGTTAGCCACGCCCAATACCTCAGACTACCTCAATGTTAACTGAAAACAAACAGGAAGTGCATTTTCAGATTTCATTACAAGATTACAAGGGCAAACTATTTTATTTTTATTAATGACATGCACAGATGAATTCTTCACCAGAAATCTAGCAATGTGAGCTATCAAAATTAATATGGTTAGTTTTGATTTGAAGTGTACTTTAAGGAAAATGAATAAAAAATGCCTGAAATATCATCTATTATTTGCCTCAGGATGTCCTGTAATAAGGTGCTGTCCTTCCTGAAGAGCCTCTCTAGGAGGAAGCCACTGGAGCCGGATGGGGAAGAGTCCAACTTTAAGCGATGCTTGAGCACTCTGGACCTGGTGGCCCTCGGCGTGGGCAGCACCCTCGGCGCAGGAGTCTACGTGCTGTCCGGAGAGGTCGCCAGGACGGTTTCTGGTCCCAGCATTATTGTGTCGTTCTTCATCGCAGCAGTGGCGTCAGTGTTTGCCGGGTTGTGCTATGCAGAGTTTGGTGCCCGAGTGCCCAAAACCGGCTCTGCTTACCTGTACAGCTACGTCACAGTCGGGGAGGTGTGGGCCTTCATCACTGGCTGGAACCTGCTGCTTTCATACGTCATAGGTAAAAAACTACATTTACAATACATCCTGAACAGTGCTGGGGAAAAAAGCAACAGGGCTGTAGTCAGGGCGGTTCGGGTGGTTCGAAAGACTCACCCCCCACTAGTCTAGATAAGGGTATATGCACAGCTAGTGCTTTTTCACCTACTTCCGGTGAACGGTTATTGTGAATTTTTTAATTTTATACAGTTCCTACAGCATGGATGTTGTAATGTCATTAAAAACAATCAGTTAAATAGACTTATGAATTCATTCAGATCTTCGAGTGTAAAACAAGATGAAAGACCATGTAAACTCAAGCACCGTCAGGATCAGCAGGCGACCACAGAAACTCCATTGAAAATACTGGAGTAAAATAAATGACCTTATTTTAAAGACATAGTGAGAAAAAAGTAATTTAATACAGAGCATATAGTCCATTGTGGGACCCACTTTATATCGTATATCAATCAGGCAGTGAAGACCACTGATTTTTAAAGAAAACCGAAAGTGCTTTTAACTGGGTTACTAAAAATTAAAAGTCCTTCTGCATATACTCTATTTGGCCCCTATAGATCATTTTAAGGGATGTGAACAAAATCAATGGTCCCAACTTAGTTCCTGTTTTACATTTTTGATTTCTGTAGCTTCCGAGAATCCAAAAAAAGCCACATATTGATAAATAATGACATGAAATCTGTTTTAACATGAAGTTATGATTGAATTGCATCATTACAGTTAATAAATAGTTTAATTACAAGCAGGAAATGTTAATAGGCCAATGACATGACCACATTGAAATGGTTTATATGAGCCCATTTTATTACAGTATGCCGTCATAAATTGTGAAAATAACCAATAGAAGAAGGCTTTAAGAGAAATAAATGTTTTTAGAATTTAAATAGGCAAATTTTGACTGAGGAAATGAGCTGGCCAGATTGTTATAGGCTACAGTTTTAATTTAAAGCAAGTTTTTATAGTTCCTAGTTGTTGTTTTTTAAATTATGGATGATAATAAGTAAGTAATATGAGACCTTCACATATCTTTAGCAAGTTCGTTATCGAGATGTATAACACAGGGAAAGCGGCTGAATAGAGAGACACTAAAAGTGGCTCCATAGAGAAACACTGCAGCGCTAGTGAAGATTGTAGGTGTTTACAGTGGTTTGACTGATAAATATGAATCTGTGGCTAAATTGTTAGCAGTGCCAAACAGCATTTCCCATTGTTTACATCCTTGTTTACGCTCTCACAACAACATTCCATTAACGCTACAAACTGTGCATGTAATTGATCAATTTTAACAAATAAAAACACGTACAGGTTGTGGCTCAAGATCCACAGCTTCTTCTAGTTGGAGCTGCTCCTATAAGGAGTTTTTAGCCGAGTCCAGCACTGAACTGAGAGAAATTCTGGAAGCTGTCCTTTGTCAAATGCTAGAGCTATATCTTTTTTTTTTTGTATACAAATCTCTGAAGCATAATTAAATAGTCTATATGAGCTCATTTGTTCTATTTCTTACAGGATGCCATCATAAATTGTGAAAATAACAGATAGAGGAAGGCTTTAAGACAAATCAAATTTTTAATAATTCAAATATGCTAATTTTGACTGCGGAAATGAAGTGGCTAGATTGTTATTTGCCAATAGGCTACAGTTTTTAATTAAAAGCTAGTTTTAATAGACCTTTAATTGCTATGTGGTTTTTAATGAGGGATGATAAATTTGCAATTTTTCATATTTCTTTATTCAAAATGCTTTATTTAAAATTCTTATCTCATAACATTATTCATCAAAATGTAATGCACATTTTTAAATAAATACTTTGTGGTAAAATAGTATGGTAAGGACTTTGAATTAAATTGTAGGAAATATTTTTTTTTGCTTAAAAAGTGGTTATGATCCCTATCCGACAAATTATCCAGCAAAGATTAGTTAGCGCTTAAAATGTCACTAAAATACAGTACCGGAACTTTCATAATTTATTAGAAAATGAGACGAATAACTCCAAAAAGGTCCACTTATTGAAAAAAAAGAGAATCACCCCTTTCAATAGGCTACGAGCCTGAGCAATATATTGCAATCTAACTTTCCTGTGAGAACGCAGAGTGGCTCAAAATGAGATTTTCCCGTGAATAATTTACAGACATTCCAGTCATTTTAATCAGTGATATTTATGCTGATGAGATAAATTTCTGTCATTCCATTACGACTCACTAAATGATCATAACCGTAAAGATATGGCCAATAAACTTGCTTAACTTTCTGACGGAAAGCCGCTATCTGTTTCCTTTGACTGAACTGCTTGATCATTCTGGATGTTTTGTTTTTTTGACAGGGACCTCTAGTGTGGCCAGAGCGTGGAGTGGTACTTTTGATGACCTGATCGGAAATAAGATCGGCAACTTTTTTAGTGCAAATACACCCATGAACTTACCTGGTCTTGCTCCCTACCCAGACTTCTTTGCTGCTGCCCTTATCATGGTTTTGGCAGGCAAGTAGGATTTACAGTGAATTTACTCTTCTGTCAATCAATAAATGGGTCAAGATCAGTGTTGGGTCAGCTACTTCAAAGAGATCAGTTATTAGTGATGATTAATGACATCATTCAAATTGCACTTAAATTACTTTCTAATTACTTTGTATGAAAATTAACTTAAAAAGTAGCTTAATTACTTGACTCAATGTATTCTTACAAATCTTAACGTATAGACAATACAAATTTAACTATTTTAATTATTTACATTTGATGCCCTTTTTATTCATTCTTTATTTTTGGCTTAGTCCCTTTATTAATCTAGAGTTGCCATAGCGGAATGAACCGCCAACTTATCCAGCACGTATTTACGCAGCGGAGGCCCTTCCAGCCGCAATCCATCTCTGGAAAACAACTACACACATTCATTCACACTCACAGGGAGAACATTCAAACTCCACACAAAAACGCCAACTGACCCAGCCGAGGCTCGAACCAGCAACCTTTTTGCTGTGAGGCGACAGCACTACCGACTGCGCCAATGATGTCCTTTTAGATTTAGTTAAAAGAATCAACACTTATGAAATATTAAACATCAAAACACAAAGTATATCCAATATTCAAAGGCCCCATGTTTCTTACATTTGATTACTTTAACTCGATGGACGTCCTACTTCTCCAGCCTCCGGCACCTAGTCTGCAGCTTCACATGCATGAAGTTTGGCCAGAAGAATAATGGTCTTGCCCAACAGAGTAATAATAATATAATTAATATAATTAATAATAATAATAATAATTTGTTAATTATTAATGAATAATATAAATAATATAAATAATAATAATAAATACATATATTTACATTAACTGCCCCTTTAATGGATTTATACAGAATTGTAATAAAAAATAAATATGAATAAAAATATAATAATAATATATAATACTCATTGATATATCTAAATTATTAATTAATAATATAAAAATAAATAATAACAAAATAGAAATTAAAAAACCAATACATATATTTACAATAACTGCACTCAACTGATTATACAGAACTATAATATAAATAAAAAATTAAAGAATTAATAATAAATTTTAATTATTTAAAATGTATGACATATTTTGAATTAATAATATAAATAATAATTATTAATAATAAAAAAAAAAAATAATAATAATAATAATAAATACTTATACGTACAATAATAACTCTGCTCACTTAACTGATTTACACAGAACTGTAATAATTTATTTATTATATTTAAAAATATGAATGATAAAATAATAATATATTAATTATATTATATATATATTATTATATATATTAACTATATATATATATATATATATATATATATATATATATATATATATATATATATATATATATATACATAATTTAATAATAATAACAATTTTAAAAATACTGATTTATAACTGGGCTGCACAGTGGCGTACCCGATCGCCTTAAAGCAGGAAGCTCACTGGTTTGAGCCTCAGCTGGGTCAGTTGGCATTTCTGTGTGGAGTTTGCATGTTCTCCCCGTGTTGTGTGGGTTTCCTCTGGGTGCTCCGGTTTCCTTCACAGTCCAAACATATACAGCTATAGGTGAATTGGGTAAGCTAAAATAGTGTATGTGTGTGGAAGAGAGTGTATGTTTCCCAGTGATGGGTCGCAGCTGGAAGTGTAAAACGTATGCTGGATAAGCTTGCGGTTCCTTCTGCTGTGGTGACCCCAGATTAATAAAAGGACTAAGCTGAAAAGAAAAAGAATGAATGAATAAATTTGTAGTTACACCCTACACTGGTCAAGATATAACAACACACAACATAGTGGTTAAAGCTGTATGAGATTGATGTTGATGGCTGTTGTTTTTTCAGGCATTCTTGCATTTGGAGTGAAGGAGTCCGCCATCGTCAATAAGATCTTCACAGGTTTAAATATGGTAGTTCTGGTCTTTGTCATCATTTCCGGGTTCATCAAGGGTGACATTGGGAATTGGCAGATTACACCGGAGGAAATTTTCAACTACACAATCACTGCGTATGTTGCATTATGACTGTTTGTGGTGATGGTAAAACTTTTTTTGTCTGCTGCATGCACAATTAAAGGTAAATAGGATGAACTAAATTGGCCGCAGTGTATGTGTGTGAATAAGTGTGTATGGATGTTTCCCAGTACTGGGCATCCACTGCATAAAACTTATGCTGGAATAGTTAGTGGTTCATTCCGCTGTGGCGATCCCTGATAAATAAGGGACTAAGCCACAGCAAAATTAATGAATGAATTAATTAATACACCCTCAATAAATGTCTTAAAACACATTGTCATTTGTTTGCAAGTAGCTTTAATGATAATGCTCTCATTTAAAGACATTTTCTAACATTTAATCCCTTTCTGTTTAGCAATCTCTCGATTTCCAATGAAACTTTGTCCAGTTTTGGACAAGGAGGGTTTTTTCCCTTTGGATTTGAAGGAACGTTTGCTGGAGCTGCAACCTGCTTCTATGCCTTTGTGGGATTCGACTGCATTGCAACCACAGGTAATTCAAGGACAGAGTGTAAAACTGCCGGGAAATTCATTTTATTTATTTTTTTACTTAGTTTTTATTGATTTTTCAGGAACATATAACCAGTGGAAACAAAACAAGCAAATAAAAAATAACACGTATATACATAAATATAAATAAGTATACATACTTATATTGGCAAATACATCCATTTCATGTATATCCATATACATACAAAAATATTAAAGTAACCTCATCAAAATAAATAAATAAGTATAAAATAAAATAACACATAAAAACATATTTTCACTATGATGCATAACCTCTAGAATTATGTAAATGTTCAATTATAAATAATTATATTGTCGTGGAGAGAAAGCCAGCCATTTGCTCCATTTCTTTTCAAAGGTCTCTAATTGTAATCGAAGTGCAATTAACTATAATTTTGAACCATTTATCTTTAGTTGGTGGCTCTTCTTTATACCATGTCTGGGTTATAGCTTTTTTACTTGTTGCCAATAATATCTTAAATAGATATCTATCTTCCTTTTTAAGATTAATAGGAGTATCTCCCAGATAAAGTACTTCAAATGATCTAGGAATATGAAGATCAAAAATATCATTGATGGTGGAGTGCACCATTTCCCAAAAACTAATAATTCTTGAGCTTCTTTTACCCCACAGTTCCTCCAACAAAGATGAGTAGTCCCCGACTGTAATGATTTAACAACTGCAGGGAAATTCATTTTTAATGACAACTAAAATCTAATCTTAAAGAGCCCTACTGTCAGTTCTGAGGTTTCTATACAACACTGTAAAAAATAAATCCGTAAAATTTACGGTAAAAAAACGGCAGCTGTGGTTGCCAGTACTTTAAAAACAGTAATTTTTCATTTTTACGGTAAATTACCGTATTTTATTAATTTATCAAGGTAATATGTTTGTATTTGGAATGATCAATATCTCCACATCTTTTGTTACACAGTTAGACACGTTAACACACCCACATGCAGGTGGTGATGAGGAAGTTTATGAGCCAATGCTCATCACAATCAAGTTGTCCCACAAGCAGAAAAGAGTATATCAGCATATAGAAGGTGCTTAGTGTCATTCACACAGCTACTAAACACCAGTATGGTAACACGCATAATTAAATTAAAGTCATGAAATAAACATTGTTTATCAACATTAGATGTAACATAAATCTCTAATGTACATAACTGATGGGGAAACAGCTAAAAAGATCCATATTAATGTCAACAAAATGCATGAAAAGTGATGTGCCATGCAGGGAATTCTGGGAAAGTCAATTTACGGTTATTCACCGTATATATTAAGGAAATATACTGTTAACCAGGTTACGGATTTGTATTGTAGCATTTTTACAGTTTTTTTACCGTTGAAATCACGGCCATTTTTTACAGTGAATGATAATATGATTTAGCTTAAGCCGTCTTTTCTCAATCATTCATTCAGTCATTTTAAAATGAGTTGTGTGAAAATGTGAAGGATGATGGGTAATGTAATTTAAATGGCACCTCTTACAATAAATAATAAAGGGATAGTTCACCCAAAAATGAATGTTCCGTCATGATTTATTCACATTGAGTTTGTTCTGTTGATGAACACAAAAAGATGATATTCTGAAGAATGCTGAAGATAAACAATTTTTGACGTCAATAGTATTTTTTGTTCCTAATATGGATGTCAATACCTGTTTTCCCCTCAACATTCTTCAGAATATCTTGTTTTGTGTTCAACAGAAATTAAAGGTTTTCAACCATTTACGTGTAAATAAATGGAGAGTAAATTTTAATTTGGCTTGGTCCCTTTATCCATCAGGGGTCGCCACATCTGAATGAACTGCCAACTATTCCAGCATATGTTTTATGCAGTGGATACCCTTCCAGCTGCAACCCATTACTGGGAAACACCCATATACTCTTACATTCTCCACACATTAGACTACATCCTAGACTACCAATTTAGTTCATGCTATTCACCTATAGCGCATGTGTTTGGACTGTGGGGGAAACCGGAGCACCTGGAGGAAACCCACACAAACACGGAGAGAACATGCAAACTCCACACAGAAATGCCAACTGACCCAGCCAGGACTCAAACCAGCCACCTTCTTGCTGTGAGGCAAACTTGCTAAACACTGAGCCATACTCTGCATGAAACATATGCCAGAATATGTGGCGGTTCATTCCGCTGTGGACACCCCTGATAAATAAGGAACAAAGTCGAAGGAAAATGATTAAATGAATGAATGTTTTAATATAGCCCCAAAAGTTGTATTTAT